TATTATGAAAGCAATCTAAAAACTAGTTACCACAACATTGTGCTTAAAAACAAAGTGCATATGAATTAAGATAAAATGGTTACTTGTGTCGTCCGCTACAGTAACTATTACTAAATACAAATGTAACGTCATGTATTTTATATAGGGCTGTTCTTCGATATAATCTAATAACAAAGACATTAAAATGTTTACTTCTGAATTTACAGGTCGTTTCGGAATCGTATGAAAGAATGCGAAACTAACGGCCATTCCTGAAGACAGTTATTATAAAATATCCATGTGATTCAGAGGCAAAGACAAAAGTTTATGCTGTCTTCATAAACGTTTCAACATGTTAAATAACCATTGAAAAACCCAGCTGAAAGTCGCATGTAGTAACACAAAAGGCTTTTATCTCTCTTTGTGAAGGGGATGTAAACTCCCTGATAAAAGGGTGGGAATTGAATAACGAGCTACTTTACGGGTGTGTTGCGAAGGCGTGATTATGTTTCTCATCAACTGATGTTCCATTAAAATGATTGATACTTAGTGAACTGGGCCAATTTAAATGCATGGTTGATGAAGTATTTCGTAGTTTAATTATACTGACATGGGTTTAACTATGTTTATGTCTTATCGAAAATTATTACCCCGCTGAAAATGTGTTTACTATGGTATGGTTGCACAAAAATGAAGCTTATAAAAATCGTTAGTTCAATATTCGAAAGGCTTATTTTGATCCACAAGGTCGCTAAGGTCTTATACCACGCCTATCTAGTTTTCCGTGCAAATAAATTTATTAAGTCAAATTAATACGCAATCAATAAACTTTTGAATTCTCAAAATCATCTATGATGATGCACACGAGTTATTAGAACTGTTGGTATATTGCGTTCATTACAAAGGTCGGAATAACAAAGACCTGGAATCTCCGGGAATCCAAACAAGCCAGATGAGTTGGTGCCACCTGTGAAAACAATCGCCGCTCGCGAATACCTAAACGATATTGAGATGGGTGGTTACTGGTTAATGCGGATATTATACAGACAACGGCATAAAGCGGGGCATCTTATGACTAAGGCATCTTAGGTAGAAATTGTGATGATGACGCAGAATGCGCACTTCGTTATGTGAGCACTCGACTCTAGCAATTTTCTCAGTTGGTGCTTTCCCAAAAGGGGTACTTCTCATAATGTGCATATAGCTAAGAATTAATATTTAGATTAAATATAATAAGATGCTATTTCGTAACGCAACCGTTATTATCCAGAAGCCAGTGAGAACAACAATAAATCTGATTTTACTGTCAACTGTTCATGTAATCTCCATTGTTGCCCTTCTAATAATCTAGCTTACACTTAATAACACTAAGTACTTCATTATACTTACTAAAAATACCTAAATAATTTAATTTATGTACTTGTTACGAGATTACATTTGCAATCGTGGATACGGGCCCGATTGTGCCATATCGTGCGGCCACTAGTTGACAGATCAAATACTGGTTTGTTAACAAACCAACAGCAAACAATTGGCGACCTAAGCCCTTAGCACTCACAGTTCAAAGTCCTATTTGAGTCTGAGTATTTGGTCAAATATTTAACTGCGACAATGATGGATCGGGTCGTGAAAGAAACATTATGGCAATCAACATTCAAACAAGGTGACGTGTTAACGAATGCGTTGTTTTAAATTATGCGAAGTTTTGGACTGAGGTGATACCTTTTTTGTCTAATGTTTTTTTTTTCGAACTGAGTCAGGGTTCGGAAAAAAACCGTTATCAGAGTACTCTGACTCAGTTCAGAAAAAAAAACATTACCATACCCAATCGTTGACCAGTGTCAACCACTTTAGTGTATGCCTGTTCCCAATTTGATGCGAGACAAAATTAAATCACTTTGAATAGAAGCATTAAAATAGTCGGTCAGTAAAACTTTTTTGCATTATCCTTCAGGTTTTCACTTTAATCACATTTTTATGTTTTACATTTTTTTTTATGCAGCATTCCACTATAGTGATTTTCCAATTAAAATAATACAGTAAGATTTAAACTAGGAAAACTAACCAGATAGTATGTTGATTGATAGCGAGCGGATCAATATTCCCGTTAAATTGGCCCCTTTTTATCCAGATTAGATGCCAGTGACAAGCATACCTACCTAGATTCTATTTACGCTAGTCGAGCAAATAAAATCTGAAAAAACAGCAATAAAGTTCCATTTGACGTCTTCGCTCTGTGATTTTGCCGACATCGCTGGCCGTACGTCACTGATGTCTTTGCCATCATTTATCTAGTGCGAAAATAAAACGGTACCAACAATGATCACCGCGGTAAAAATATTTCCAGCTAAATGCTTTTGCCAAAGGTATGTCGTTAAACTTTTAACATAATTTTAGGTGAGAATTAAATTATTTACCTCCGGTGTTAACGTAAATATGGTGAAAATTTTTTATCGTCAAGCTAGAAATGCAGAATAGGTACCTTATATCATTATTACTTCAATAAATAGGTTTTTGTAAAACAGCTGATTCGTTTAACATTTACTACTTAAATTACATTTAAATTACATCAAGCAAAGTCAGAGGTTATCGGTCCGATTCAAAAAGGAATCTAAACTTAGGTCCTTCCTACTATTTATAATATGTATTTATGTATCAAGAACATACCTATCGAACAACTAAAAACGTACGAAATATTTAAACGCTTTTATAGCCTGACCAGGAACATAAAAACCCTCGCCATGTTGCGGAAAACTAATGGTACTAATTTCTTTTAATGGCAACAGTAACTGAAAACTTCATTGACATGTCACCTTGCATGTCAGTCTATTGCTGTCAAAGTGTAAACAAACTTTATTTTAAATGTGCGCAATTGGTTTTATGAATTAAATTGCTAAAATATTTTTATAGTCGTGAAAGAAAAGTGGTTCACAATGTGTTAAAGTATTTGTCGAAGAGAAATACTAAGGGTTCGAATAATATTTTCATTGAATAATGTTTCCGACAAAGGTTGTCAAATTGACTGACATGTTTATCGTATAGTACAGTCCACTATGAAAATTAGCTGTGGTTTGTTTCAACTACCTATTTTAAAAAAATTGACACTTTCTAAGTGTTGAATTTTATGGGATTGGGAAAGAAGTACCGAGTTTGAAGCGTTCATGAGCAGACATTGCAGTTGAATATTCAAGTTCTGAATTTATTATTGATGAATAATAAAATAAATCTACTAGCTCGATTGATGGTTTCATTTAATTTATTTAAATCAGGTTACCTATAATAATATTTTTTCGTTAATTTATGAAAATATCAAATTAGCCCGTAATCCTGAATCCTGATACATAAAGTTAGCCTATTAATTTAACACAGGTACGACTGTACTCAGTGTTGCACTATCAAATGCAATTGAGGCGCCTCTATGCCAGGGTTTTTATGTTCCTGGTCAGGCTATACCTAAGCTTCTGGTGCCTCATCTAAGTGAAATAGACTACAAATGTACGTTTAATCACCATCTCAGGCATTTATTCTATCTATGGTATTTACTCAGATTGACTAGATATCGGCATAATAAATTGCACATGATGAAGATTTTATGTCCAGATGTGCAGAGTCACTTCGAGATCATTTAAAACTGACGCGACTAGGTATATAATATTATACACATTACCTACACGACACATAGGCCTCAGAAGAAATGGATCAGTAGTTGCTTGTTAAGTGAAATGTTTTTTCAGCCAGCACTTTTCTGTTTTGATCTCATTTATGTGTATAAGGAAAATATATTTATAGAAAAGAGAAGGATTGGGCTTTTGGGAGATGTACTATTTCTTTTTCAGGCGTTTGATTTCGGAAAAATATTGACGGAATATTTTCGATGGTAAAAGAATATAGCTAATTACGATATACGATAATACAGATACGAAAAAATCTGCTTTGATCATCATGGCAGGAAATAATTCAAAATACATCAATAATAATAAAATATGCTGGCTTTTTCTGCAATTTTCTTGTTTTTTTGCAAGTCTCCCGTTTACATGGATACATAGAAGCCTATGAATATTCTTTCTATTCAATTTTTAACACATTTCATCAGTAATCTACTATTATACTATGGTTCTACTCTAGTTTTGCTGATGCAGAAATACTTAGCACTCAAAAAAAGCGCGTAGGTAATCATGTATGAGCCATGCGTGCATTGTTTTTTTTTTTGCTTAGTATTATTCATCAAACGAGGTCAAGACACCCAGTTCCGCAAATCTGCCAACGCGGGGATTTACGCCTCTCTCAACTTTGATTCATCGAAATTCCGACAAAATATTTTTTGGAATGGTACGAGAAATCGCAAGACATTTTAATAAGAATCGCGTAGCAGTGCCAATATCCTTGTTTAATTATGAACATTGCATTGCAAAAACGGTTAACGGTAAGGGCTATATTTTCTTTCTTTTTTTGTTTGTAGTCTAAACTGAATAAATATTTTAGATTTTGGTTGTAAAATCAGAATTGACTTTGAAAGAACGAGAAGTAATGGGCGTAACATTTTATTTACACCCATAGATTGCAAAAAAATACAGTGATATTTTAAACGATCGAGGTAGAGTTCTGTATTTTTATAATTTTAAGCTGCCGGTAATGAATAATGCTCTTCTCTAGACAAATCGATATCAATTCAATAAGCACGCCGATTTTAAAAAGGCAAGGAAATATTAATTTTCTATTTGATCTTTATTTATAAAAGCGAAAGTTTTGACTCATTTACTGACTACCTCACTCGCTCACTCACTCATCACGAAATCTCAGAAACTACAAGTGCTAGGAGTCTCAAATTTTGCATGGGGGTTCCTTTTAGAACGTAGGTGCTCACTAAGAACGGATATTACGAAACTCCACGCGTAAGAAGTCGCGGGCGGCCTCTAGTAGATAAAAATTACAAATTGTGAATTAAAACACAATATAACTTATTGAATTATATATTTTTACTTAAATCATATTAACACAAAGTCTAATATGATACTCTTCGCGCTGTTTTTCGTTTTTCACTCATTCTCAGAAATTAGAAAATTTAGAGAAAATTCTGACAAAGTAAGTCAACTCCTGGGATTCTGGGATACACAGGAACAACTTCAGGGAATTCTGGAATGGGAAAGGTACAGGATAGAAAAATAGTACAACAAATATCAAATATACCAGTTGTATTAAAAAATAGTTTTAAATTTTTTTAAAAAATAGTTTTGAAAATGTTGATTGTGTTTATCGGACTAAAATAAAAATCTTCAAAAAATTACATAACACTGTTTGTTTTTTATAAAAATTAACAAATTTTAGTTCCTTTGCATGCAGTTTTAGAAGTATTTCTAGGATTTAATACAAAAAAATATAATGACAAAATTAAAAATAAAGACAAAACCTTGTAGGTAACCAAAATTGTTGTTTTAGGTAGGTATTTTTTGTATGAATCATATTAGGTAATTAGGTACCTAATACAATTTATTTGAATAAATCACAAATATTTGTCTGTTTACCAAAGCAGTTAGGTGACAGGAAGGAAGGTGATCTCATATTACTATCAAATATTAAATAACTGCTCAGATTACAAATTTAGTTTCAAATTAACTGCTATCCTTCATAAATTGTTACTAAAAAGATTGCTCCTTCTTTTAAACTCCGGACAATATTTTTTCCCGGAACAACTCCGTTTTATTTTTATTTGAGATACATAATAATTCCTATTTAATAATGTTTTATAAATTATTGAAACGAAATACCTGTGTTTAAGTTAGATTATGTAATACCTAAATGTACAGTTTCAGTACTTGTGATGCAGTTTTAGATTTATTTAACTTGTAGTAGCTTATCACCGTTACACATAACAATGGAATTTTTGTGATTGTGGACTCCTGTTTAATGCCAACACTAACCGTCATGATAACAGTAATTAACTCAAATCAGGCAGGTACCTTGCAGTTAATTTTGGGTATATAAAACTTATTGAAACAGGAGAGCAGTACAAATTAAAAGTGCAGTAAAAAATTGCTGTTATAAATTTTTGTATTGTATAATACAAAATAAAATAAAATGAACAATAGGTTAATGAACATTTAGCTGTATTTTTTAAATTAACCTAATGTAATTTTGTAATTCCAATAAGATTCGTATTGGAATTTTCATACTTAGACAGGGAGTCTAGATATATCATATCGAGGCTACTCATTAAATACATCAGCAAATAAGGCTTGATGGAAAGTCAAGTGCTATTGTTAGTGCATACAATGCAAACGTAATGGGCAGCTCCATCGATAAATGAACCCATAACGAACGCTGTTGTTCCGCAGACCTAAGCCATCTGTTATCATACACGCACTGTCGAAAGCCGATACTGATCACAAGGCGCCTCCGCATTGTAAACAAACGATGTATTTTTAATTTCCTAACAAATCGCGCCCAAAAAATTAACGATCATTAAAAACAACAATGTCCTTACCATATGAAATCCTTGCAGTGGGAACAGAACGTCGGCTGCTTGAAGAACCTCGGCATGAACTTGTGGTCCTTCACGAAGTAAACATTCTTCTTCTTGAGGGCACCCTTCCGGCCTCGCAAGCGGAGCGCCTGATCCACCTTCATTTCACCACCACCATCGTCACAGTTATTCTCCTCGTCCGCCATCGCGACTCGCGGAGCCCGAGACACCGGTATACTCGGAAATAAATAATATTCTCACAAAATCGCCAGACTTCGCGACCCGCACGGACGAAAACCACCGTCCTCAGTCGAACGTCATTGCGCTTTGTCAAGAAATTTTGCCAGGGACCAATGAAATGAAATAGATTTATCTGTCAATGTCATGTCAAATTACCCCAAAGTGTTGCCACTCAATGTATTTATTACCCATCGTGCTTAGGTTTCAAAAGTTCAAATATTTTTTGATATTTTTGTGTTATTATATCATATAATAACTCATAACGTCTAAAATGCTAAGTTGATAAAAAAAACATTTGCCTCTATTTTCAATACTCAATTCTTTATAAACTGTTTACTAGGCCATAAGTTAGCGTAGCGGCTATGTCGCAACGAAAAATTCGAGATACTTTTGGACAGTAAATAAAAGAGGTACAATTCATTAATTTAATAAAAACTTGATTAACTTCTATTTTCAATTACTCATTTTCTATTTATTATAAAACTTATTGAAACAAAAAGATAACGATTGCTAACGATTACCGAAAATAACGTCGTTATTATACACTCTTTGGCGAAATGGATCGCTCGCTCATTCATTCTCTGTGGGGTGGTTGGATCTGTGGTCGTTCATTCTGATTCTGTCGTAGTGTCGTTCATTCATTTGTGACAGCTGAGTGCCGACTGACGGTGGCCGTTAAAAATTTAATTCAAGTTTTTGTACAGTTGTAATTATTTGTTTACTCGAATTATTGAGTTGAAATGTGAAAACTTGTTGAATCTCTATACAAAATAGTGTGTTTCTTTATTACTTTACGTATCAAAGTGAAAATGAGTTCGGAAAATTCAGATTCGGGATCGGGGCTAACGCTTTCGTTGGTGGCGCAGTTTGATGATATAAACCGTTTGAACGGTGTTCTCAACGACGGAGCCGCTGAAGAATGTAAGTTTTTATCTATTTTAGCGTAACTTTATACATAACTTTATGTTACAATGCTTGTGAGCCCCATGTAAAAGATATTTGCCATTATTGCCATGACGCCGAATGTGTTGCATCTACCCCCCTGATAGCAATGATATAATATAATTATGAAATTATGATTATACGAACCATGATGTCCCATGAGTTCCCTGATTGTATACTTCTATTTCTTTTCTACTTCTTTCTGAACCTTTCATAAAGAAAGTATAGTTTAATTTTAAAAGTTCTTGTCTTTATATTAGCCTCAATTCAGTGTGATGTCATCTTGGATGTCATTAAAATGCTAATGAATGAATATTGTAATTTTTTATTATAATCTTTATGAATGTACAAAAGTATCATGGTATTTTCAAAATGCACAAATCTGTAAAAGTTTTGGATAATTTTGGTCATTTTGACCCAGGCGCGGATCCACCGTTGTGGGCACTGTGGGCATGCCCACAACCCTAATTTGCTTGTTTTAATTATGATCTATTGATAAGATCGATAGGCATGCATGTATGTCCAGGCATGTAGTGATCCAACTCTCATTTGCTCAAAAATGAGCTGTGGCTGTGCCCACAACCTTTTTTGACGGCTGGATCCGCGCCTGTTTTGACCAGTCATAAGAGTAACAAAATATAATAAAATAAAATAAAATAAAATATGTATGTAACATCAGCACATCAGACTCCATTTTTGTTGCAAAATGGCCCTGTAACAAATTCATAAGATGGCTCAGACAGACTAGCTTCATTTGTTTTCTCTCTGACCGTCATTCATACTAATTCTTGTTCTGGCTGACAATAGTGACCGAGTTACTTGTGCTGCAGCACTGGCCCATTTGTTGTCCTGAAACAGTTTTTTAAAAGCCTATTTGCAAAAATAAATAAGTTTATGACTTTCGTCACAACACTTGCCAGAGTGGTCATGGTTGTACTAATACCACAACCTTTAACTTACGCATCAAACACTTCCTTCCAGGTTTCCTAGCGTTTGTAAAGCAGATGGAATGGGTGCGGTCCCAGTGGGCATCCGCTGAGGCTGAGGCGGCCCGACTTCAAACGGAGTTGGACGAAGCCCACAAGACCCTCTCTAAGTGGGAGGCGAAGTTTGCTCACGTGAGGAAACTGCTGGACGGAGAAAAGAGGGAGAGGAATATTGTCCTGAAGAAGTATAGTGAATTGGTAATGCCCTTTTCAATAAAATAAACTTATGTATTGGGAAAAAAATAGTTAACCCTTACCCATTTATACAAATTTTATTTAGTATGAATTATCTGTTTTACATCAATTAACTGTAATATGTTTTCTCTAAGAAAAATTCAAAACATGTTAATAAATGTAACTGTAATTTGTCAAAAATGTCTTATGTAGATTAACATTTAATTACAGAGCAAACTTCTGGAAATGGCACGTGATTTGCTGTTCAACGACAACAGAAACAAGCTGAACGATGAGACACTGCAGAAGCTTGCATTCCTCAACGGCACTGCTCAGCAAGACCATAACGCCAAGCTCAGTGGAGTGCCTGAGCTCAATTCCACTGGTAAACATCATTCATAGCAGATTTGATAATTTAAAACATGGTCAGATTAGGTAAATAAATAAAATTTTAATTACACACACACTTATCAAGTAGGTACATATAAAATTTTAATGACACACACACTTATCATATAAGTACATACAACACATTAAGCTAAAAACTGAATAGAAATGTGTGTCAGAAGGGCGCAAAACAATTTCCTGACACTGATTTTTTTAACAACAATTTCTTTTTTATTCTTAATGCTGAGGTGAAAATACTAAGTTAAATTAATTGATATTCAAGACAACTTACAAGAAGATGTAAAATACGATAATATAATATAATAATATAAGCCTTTATTACTGAATTACAAGGTATTTTTTAACATTAACATTTCATTTTACAATTTAGTTGCACTCATCTCCAGTTTGTCCTTGGACATAGGCCTCCTCCAATGATCTCCATGCTTCTCTGTTTCTAGCCATTTGTGGCCATAATGGCCCTGCTAATTCGCGGATATCGTCATGCCATCTTTTTGCTTGTCTGCCTCTGCTTCTTATACTTTGTTTTGAAGATCATAAAAAGCAAATTACCCAGGCAGTATTATAAATTACTAGCAGCCCGTCCGCGACATCGTACGCGTGGACTTCGTTTATGGGAAAAAGAAAAGGGTTTTCCCGGAATTTATTCGAATTTTTCTCGCCCTAAAACCATCCTTGGACTTCAACGAACATAATAAAAAGAATTAGGAAAATTGGTCCAGGCATTGTTGAGTTAGATTACAAACCAGTGTACATAAAATTCAACCCTACATCAAGTGGTCTCTTTTCCACAGGCACTCTCCTATCCGAGATGTCATACTCCCGTTCCGAGGATGATCTCGACATATCCTTGGCCTCGACTCGCCGTTCGTGGGTGCAACGAGGCGGGTGGACTGCGAGGGACAACCCGCCTGCGACCAAGAAACGAAGGTCGTCTACCTCATCCGCTACCAAGGTCGGTCGGCATGATAAGGTACTGTGTGTGAAAGTTTTACGTAGAGTATTAGAAGATCTAAGGTGTGTAAAAGTTTAAATGGGAACCAAGGGCGGAACGGCCCGTCTGCTACTAAGAAACGAAGGTCGTCTACCTCATCCGCTACCAAGGTCGGTCGGCATGATAAGGTACTGTGTGTGAAGGTTTTACGTAGAGGTTTAGAAGTCCCAAAGGTGGTGTATAGATGTTTAGTAGAAACTTACATTGTGTTGGGTGTGGAACAGCCCGTCTGCTACTAAGAAACAAAGGTCGTCTACCTCATCCGCTACCAAGGTCGGTCAGCATGATAAGGTACTGTGTGTGAAAGTTTTACGTAGAGTATTAGAAGATCTAAGGTGTGTAAAAGTTTAAATGGGAACCAAGGGCGGAACGGCCCGTCTGCTACCAAGAAACGAAGGTCGTCTACCTCATCCGCTACCAAGGTCGCTCGGCATGATAAGGTACTGTGCGTGAAAGTTTTACGTAGAGTATTAGAAGTTCTAAGGAGGTGTGCCACGTTGTGTATTGGGCGGGACAACCCGCCTGCGACCAAGAAACGAAGGTCGTCCACGTCATCCGCTACCAAGGTCGGTCGGCATGATAAGGTACTGTGTGTGAAAGTTTTACGTAGAGTATTAGAAATTCTAAGGAGGTGTATAGATGTTTAAGTAGAAACCTACATTGTGTTGGGTGTGGAATGGCCCGTCTGCTACTAAGAAACGAAGGTCGTTCACGTNTTCCACCTCATCCGCTACCAAGGTCGGTCGGCATGATAAGGTACTGTGTGTGAAGGTTTTACGTAGAGTATTAGAAATTCTAAGGTGTGTAGATGTTTAAATGGAAAGCAACACTATGTATTGGGGGTTGAAAGGCCCGTTTGCTACTAAGAAACGAAGGTCGTCTACCTCATCCGCTACCAAGGTCGGTCGGCATGATAAGGTACTGTGTGTGAAAGTTTTACGTAGAGTATTAGAAATTAGAAGGTCAAGCACAGGTGATCTCAACCAGTGTTGTCCAGGACCGGCCTCTGCTGGCTGCATCCAGGTACATTCTGGTAGTATGTAGGTAGACTGTAGATATTTCAATGGAAATTATCACAATGACATCATCATCATCATGAGATAATTTGGGCCCCATTGCAGGATTGCATCCTCTTATTTTATTTACCAGAAGCAAGGCACACTCATGTAAAAGTCAACTTATATTAAGCAAACTTACTAAACTACCATCCATTGAATTTTCCAATTTAAAGACCAAGATGCCATGCTGGGTTTCTTTTCTTATACACGTACAAGTAAAAAAAAAAAATCTTTATATTTCCCTATTTCTCGTTGCCCAGACTTTAGTCTTATTTCACATGTTTATAGTTAAAAATAAAGCTGCAACTATTCAATTACCTCGAACAGTATAACCAGCCATACTTTCCCATGAATATTGTTTGTCTGAACTTGGTATTTCCCCACAGACGGTTGAACTGCAAGGTGGTAAAGTGCTGGCCACTGCCACCACCACGCTGACTTTAGAGCGAGCACCCACCAACCACGACTTGAAACCGCCGACCAATTTCGTAAGTGTAACTTAGGGTAAAATCTGATATCTTCTCTGTAAAGTAACTTCTCAAAATAGACAGCAAATTAATGAGTGACAGTAAAAAAGAAACTTGTACCATTTTTAAACTAGCCTCTGCCACGGCTTTGCCTTTTGAATTCGCGAAAATTTTACAAATTTTCCACGAATATATGAAAAAACAAGTTGCCGAATCGGTTCACCAGTTATACTCAAGTTTTTTTTTTTATAGACAACTAGCGGCCGCTCGCGACTTCATTGCTGATGCCATTTTACCCCCTTAGGGATTGAATTTTGCAAAATCCCGTCTTAGTCAGCACCTATGTTTTAAAAGGCAAAATAAAATGCAAAATTTTAAACTTCTAGCACTTGTAGTTTCTGAGATTTCGTGATGAGTGACTCAGTCAATCAGTGACCTCTCGCTTTTATATAAAGCCCGGTCTGCGAGCACGTAGAATTTTGTCCAATGACCCCAAGCTAATTATATTGCTGTCGCGACTGAGCGACGGGCGCCCGCAGTGAGTGTGCGAGCGCAAAAGCAACATAATTACGCGCGAGCGAATAGGATGGGTAGCTTGGGGTCATTGGTAGGGTTGCCAACTATACTGTTTTGAACAGTATTATACTGTTTTTCACTAAATTATACTTTTTACTGTTGAACAAAAATAAAGTATACAAAATACTGTTTTCAGCTAGCATCACTAGTATCCATAGATATTTTTAAAAGTAAATGCCCAACACCACATTTAAGTACGCGTTGTAGAGCTATACTGTTTGTTTTTTTTTATACTGTCTGTTTTCCTTCTCCGACCTCTGATATACTTTATATTTTGAAAGAAAAGTCGGCAACCCTAGTCATTGGACAAAAATCTACGTTCTCGCAGACCAGACTATAGATAGATTTCTTGTATTGCTAAGCGCAAATCTTGAGGACAACAGGACCATTATCATTTTTTAAAATGATTAACAATCGTTTGTTTTACAGCAACCTATATCGGAGAGTAGCGACGAGGCGCCGGCGCCGACGCCGACGCGCAAATCCTCGGGCCGCGTGTCCGGGATTCACATCCCGCAATTGCATACGCCGTCAGCGCCGCCGCGCACTGGTAAGTCTTACGCTTATGTAACTATAATATACGTAAATAGGTGTATGCTATTCTGCCAAATGAAGTTTTTTGTTTCCTACCATAAAATCTAGCAAAACTGACAGTTGCTGTTTTTCAAATAACCCTTCAATTTTTAAGGAATTCATTTTAGATACATTGAAGTTTGAAGTGATTTTTAAGCTTCTCGTTTTGGCCGTGTTGGACAGAATGAAACAAATATTAGAGGTCTTTGAGACAACGCAAAAAGATTATTTTCAGTTACATTTTTATAATTTACCTAATAACCTCTTAATTTAAACACCCTCTTGATAGCAAAGTAGACCGTAAGGCGAATATCACACTGCACCGCGCTCCACCGCGGTCCGCGTGGCGACATATAAAAAATCCCGCGCGCAAACGCGTTGTTAGTGTGTTATGCCGCGCGTGTTTTCTATACAAACTGAGGTACTTGCATACAATGATTAAATCTGTCGTCCCGCGGTGCAGTGTGATAATCGTCTAAAGGCTTTANTTAACATTGGAAAAGCACAAATATAAGCTGATGGACCATAGAAAGGCACAAATATAAGCTACTTATTGAAAAAAAATAATCTGGCTAAGGCTAATGGGTAAAAATCATGTGGCTGCAGTAACGTTTCCAAGCATTACTGCAACGGAATCTTATTTTCTTCAATTACTCCGAAATCTTATTGGGCAAAAATGCTAGATTCTCGGCATATTTACAGGATTTAAGGCTCTACCTTTTCCATGACATAAGCACATCTTGATCAGCGTCACCATATCGTCGCTTGCCTCTCTAACTGACGTAACTGACATTTTGCAAAATTTTCAGGCGATTAGATAGATCGATTCGTCTTGCGAAATTAATTAAGATGGTGTAGATAACTCAGTTTAGAAAAAAATGTCAGATACGTCACTTAGAGAGGCAAGCGACGATATCTCTGAGGTAACGCACACGAATGAATCTGCATTTTGATTTTAAATAAGTGAAATACAACTTGATGCAGACTGACATGTATTTGGGAGAGAACTTGCTTAATGATAATTACCTACTGTCTACCGTAACATTCGCTGCCTGCCGCTCGCGCACCCTGCTTCTACTTTCAATAACGCAGGCCTGTTCATCTCCGCGAGTTTACATTGAAAACAAAACACGCACGATGGCCCACCTACAGGACACTATTCGACAAGGCCTCACATACGAGCGAACATTGACTGACGCACGCGTATTCTTGTGTATGATGGAAGAAAATAAAGAAAATCGTGTACTAAATACTGTGCAGTATGTAACTGCCTAAATAATAATAAAAACACGGAATTTACTTTTTTAAGTTGCCTCAAGACACTGGGAGGTAAATAAGTAGTTAATATTATTCATGATAATTCATGCTAAATCATGTATTTCCTCCGCCATTTTCCGCAGTTTGGCACCTCACGTCACATCATTTTACCGAAGTCAGCCCTATAGCTTCGGCGCAGTGCCGATCACTGACGTTTGTCAACAAAATGGTGCTTGACTCTTGAGACAGGCTAAATTACACCATATTGTTAATGACATTGAGCATACATTTGTTTAAATACCTTCGCGAAGTAAAACTTCTGTACGTAGTACTTATTATTATTCTGTGGTATAACCAGCCATACTTTCCCATCAATATTGTTTGTCTGAACTTGGTATTTCCCCACAGACGGTAGAGCTGCAAGGTGGCAAAGTGCTGGCCACTGCTACCACCACGCTGACTTTAGAGCGAGCACCCACCAACCACGACTTGAAACCGCCGACCAATTTCGTAAGTTGCTTTTAAAACTATCGCTTGACCTCTTGACCAATATTCTTTAAAAACGGTGATGGAGACATTGTAAAAAAATTGGTAGTTTAAAAAAAATCTGAAATAAAACTCATAAAGCATTTCTATGGACATGTAAAGCTTGTTCGAAGCATCTGATGCTACCCCCCATGTCAGTGTGAACTGTGACGTGCTAATTTTGAGACATCTGTATGTAATATTTAGTTATACCTATATTATAGTGCGGAAATAACTTGCCAGTGGACGTTTTCCACAAGTCCGCAGTAAATGAATTTCGCTGATGGAAGATTTGGATCCCAATGTATATCCTAAGGGCCACAGCAGATCTTTCAGAATCGGAGATCCATGATTTTGCGACTGTATCGATGCAGCATCACGATTCCGCGAGGCGCGACTTGTAATGCGTTCGGACGCGGTATCAGAATCGCTGCGACGCGCTAAAAGCGAGTAATCGTCGTGTTTGGCGTTTTTAAATGTGATATGTCGTCGCTGCATTCAGCTTCAACTATGTATAGAGACTGCACTGCAATAAGAATATAAAGAAATTACCAATAGTATTAAGAAAAGAAACAAATAAAAAAAATATTCCTCAGAAATCTAAAGGACTTACTAATAAAAAAATGCTACTACATCCTAAATGAGTACTTCAGTGACTTAAACTTAAATTAAAAATACTATCTTATTAAGTATGTATTCGTTACACGTTGATTACTAAATCAGTCATTAAATTGCTAAGCCTAAAGGGTAATATGATGTACTGGATAATATGATAATCACATCTTGTAAACATTCATGAAATGCAATAAATACATTTTGACTTTGACTTCTAAAAAGCCGTTAAATCGCCGTTGCTAAAAGTAGCATGTGTGCTGTTGCTTTATGTAAATTAACTATTTTGCAGCAACCTATATCGGAGAGTAGCGACGAGGCGCCGGCGCCGACGCCGACGCGCAAATCCTCGGGCCGCGTGTCCGGGATTCACATCCCGCAATTGCACACGCCTTCAGCGCCGCCGCGCACTGGTAAGTCTTACGCTTATGTAACTATAATATACGTAAATAGGTGTATGCTATTCTGCCAAAGGAAGTTTTTTGTTTCCTACCATAAAATCTAGCAAAACTGACAGTTGCTGTTTTTCCAAATAACCCTTCAATTTTAAAGGATTTCATTTTAGATACATTGAAGTTTGAATTGATTTTTAAGCTTCTCGTTTTGGCCGTGTTGGACAGAATGAAACAAATGTTAGAGGTCTTTGAGACAATGCAAAAAGATTATTTTCAGTTACATTTTTATAATTTACCTAATCACCTCTTAATTTAAAAACCCTCTTGATAGCGAAGTAGACCGTAAGGCGATTATCACACTGCTCGGCGTTCCACCGAGGTCCGTGTGGCGACATATAAAAAATCCCGCGCGCAAACGCGTTGTTAGTGTGTTGTGCCGCGCGTGTTTTCTATACAAACTCGAGATACTTGCATACAATGATTAAATCTGTCGTCCCGCGTACCGCGGCTTAGCGCGGTGCAGTGTGATAATCGCCTAATACCAAAAATATCGTAGTACCGCGAAGTAAAAATACACTCAACATCAAATAAACCGCACCTTCCGCGACGCGAACTTTAAAGATTTTCTTCTGACACAATTATGGTACCCCAACAATATTGGTGTTATTTGAAAGCCCAATAAATATCCTTAAAGAAAAATACATTTCATTTCTAAATAAATGATTAACATATACCATAAATGTGGCTTGAAAATAGACCTCACTTTGGGCTCACCTCTGGGATCAATTAGAGCAATTTTTATGGTTATAAAACCAAATAAAGATCTCACGTGTCCTCTTTAACAGATGGATAGCGATTAATCCCAACTTAACAGATTTATAGTCATAAAAAATGGCTATAGGGTAACTACCTATTTTTTGAAGAAGTGACTCTGGATCCTTGTAAAGACACATTTTTGGGGTGAAAACCTTTCCTCTAATGAAATGAAGTTTAGAACTAGGCTTTCAAATGGTACCAATGTTGGTGGGAAGTGGGGATGCATACGTTTGATTAGTGCTTGTCGCGGGAGGTGCGATTTATTTGAAGCCGAGTGTATGTGACAGCGCCATCTCTTGGTCAAATCCAGAACTAAGTTTTATACTATCACTATAGATTCGGACAGCGTGTCGGACACGCCTCGCGCGCCGCCGCAACGCACGCCGTCAGTCGTATCGGCGGCGTACGGCGGCTCGCCGCGCGCGCGCCCGCGGCAACACAACTTCGTCGCCAAGAACTTCTACAAGCGGGAGACCTGCGGCCCTTGCGGGAAGACGTGAGTGCTCGCAGCTTTTTAGGTCTTGGTTGTGTTATTTGGAGGAGAATAGTGATCAGACGGCGGACGCAATACATAAATCTATACAGTACTCAAACTTCATACTAGCGCCTGAATTCGCACGCGCACATAGACACGTAATGAGGGTTTTCGCGTATAAAAGATCCGCTAGATGGCGGGACGTGGATGTGGGGTCTGACTGCTGCGTGATTGGTGGATTTTGAAATATCTGTCAATGTCATGTCAAAAATAACCAATCACGAGGCATTTGGACCTTGCGTCTACGTATTGCCATCCGGCGGATATTTCATACGCGAAAACCCTCATTTATATGGCTTCCAATGTAACTGTTTAAAGATTTTGAAACGTCAAGTGACAAAAATCAAAAACTAACAACCTAGCATTGATAGTAGCGCCTTCCCGCTAATGTCACAATAATAATTATGATTGTCCAACGTGGCAATAATCGGAACTAATAATCCAGCATTGATAGTAGCGCCCTCTTGACAATGTCATAGCTGAGACGGTTTAATATAGGTCATCTATATTTTCAGTAAACAAAACAAAGTGTCATGCTGCAGAATTTTTCTTTGATTCTATCCTTTTGTAGAAAAAGGCAAAGGCATACGATATACAGCCAAGTCTTCAGTTGAATGTCATTTTGTCGATGAATTTTGACAGCAATCAACCCTAAAGCACACCCAGCCTAGCCCATCAATCCCTAATTTTTATGTGACCCCTATGAAAACAAAATTCCTAATAAGTGTCACTTAAAAATTAAGGGTTGATGGTGAAAACTGAGATTAAGCTCTTGGTTGTGTTAACTGGTGGAGACTGGTGATTAGAAAGAAGGTGGAAACGAGCTTCATCCGGAATTCTCAAATATGTCAACACATCGATTGAAACACTTTCTTCATTTTCGAAAGAGTCTTGTACACTTTATGGAGCAGCTATGGACTTTAACTGCTTATATCTATAAAAATACTGTTCTGTAGTCAACGAACTCCAGTTTGTTTCTCGAATTTTTTAACAGTCCTAGTTAGGATATTATTTTTAGAAATCACAGATTGTTAGATGATTCGTACGCAGGATTTGGATACAAAATTATAAGTGGAACTAATACTGCTTACCGCCTCTGCTAAAGTCCAAGGCTAAAGTGGTTGTGACTTGACAATGTTCGAAAAGGTGTATCTGCTAATCTCGTCCAATACTCCTTAATTGATTGTAAACCTTAAACAAAGATAATAAAGTTCAAATTCCATTATCCCACAGCATAAAGTTCGCCAAAGTGGGCGTGAAGTGCGAATCGTGTCGCGCTCAAGCTCATCCCGAATGTCGCGCGCTGCTACCGCTGCCCTGCGTGCCGCCCGGCCCGCACGCGCGCCGCGCCAACGGACACCAGGTATAATAATAATGGCCTTTATGGCGTCGGCATAAGGTTCAAGGTGGAGCGCAGTGGCTACTAGGTACTCACGCGAGCCGCGCAAATGACACTAGCCCTTGCGGCTTCGGCATAAGGTCCACAGTAGCGTGCTGCCGCAGGCGCACCCTTGGTGCTGATCCAACGAACACCAGTTACTACTGGCTCTTATGGCGTAGGCATAAGGTCCACAGTGGCGCACAGCTCACCTCGAGTGCCGCGTCAACGTCATCATATACGCATGATTGACCCTTGCGGCCCCGGCATAAGGTCCATAGTGGCGTGTCGGAGCAGGCGCACTCCTAATGCCGCGGCGACTGACACCAGGTACTTGCCTTTGTGTTTTCGGCATAAGGTCCTGAGACTAGCTGCCTGATGAGACCCAGCGTCACCATATACGCATGATTGACCCTTGCGGCTTCGGCATAAGGCTCATAGTGTCGCGCGCTGCTGCCGCTGCCCTGCGTGCCGCCCGGCCCGCACGCGCGCCGCGCCAACGGACACCAGGTATAATGGCTCTTGGGGCCTTGGCATAAGGTTCAAGGTGGAGTGCAGTCAGAGTAAATACAAATGAGTAGGTCAACTTCATAGAAACGCCCGAGCGCGGTTTGTATGTGAGCGCGCCAATACGTATGCGGCGCGCACGCACACACTGACAAAAATTAGCGTTGATTAGCGGTGAGTTGCCCCGAATTTACTCTGGTGCAGCGCTTGCTAGGTATTCACGCGAGTCGGGCAAATGGTCTTGGTCACCAGGTCGGCCCTAGCGGCCCCGGCATAAGGTCCAGAATAGTGCGCAGTACGAGACTAGCTGCCTGATGAGACCTAACGTCACCATATACGCATGATTGACCCTTGCGGCCCCGGCATAAGGTCCACAATAGCGCGCAGTACGAGACTAGCTGCCTGATGTCTGGTTCTTATGGCTTCGGTATAAGGTCCACAGTGGCGCTCAAGCTCACCCCGAGTGTTGCACGCTTCTGCCGCTGCCCTGCGTGCCGCCCGGCCCGCACGCGCGCCCCGCCAACGGACACCAGGTATAATGGCTCTTATGGCATTCGGCATAAGGTTTCATAGTCTAGTGTCGTGCCGACGCAGGCGCTTCCCGAGTGCCGCGCCAAATGACACCAGGTACTGGCCTTTGTGGCTTCGGCATAAGGTTCACAATAGCGCGCAGTACGAGACTAGCTGCCTGATGAGACCTAACGTCACCATATACGCATGATTGACCCTTGTGTCTTCGGCATAAGGCTCATAGTGGCGTGCTGCCGCAGGCGCACCCTTGGTGCTGCTCCAACGGACACCAGGTACAATGGCCCTTGCGGCATTGGCATAAGGCTCATAGTGTCGCGCGCTGCTGCTGCTGCCCTGCGTGCCGCCCGGCCCGCACGCGCGCCGCGCCAACGGACACCAGGTATAATGACTCTTATGGCATTGGCATAAGGCTCAAAGTGGCACGCAAGTCAGTGCCCGTCTGGACTCACGCGTTTCGCGTCACCGGGCACCAGGTACGCACAACTGGCCCTTGTAGTCTCGGCATAAGGTTCAAGGTGGAGCGCAGTGGCTACTAGGTACTCACGCGAGCCCCGCAAATGACACTAGCCCTTGCGGCTTCGGCATAAGGTCCACAGTAGCGTGCTGCCGCAGGCGCACCCTTGGTGCTGATCCAACGAACACCAGTTACTACTGGCTCTTATGGCGTAGGCATAAGGTCCACAGTGGCGCACAGCTCACCTCGAGTGCCGCGTCAACGTCATCATATACGCATGATTGACCCTTGCGGCCCCGGCATAAGGTCCATAGTGGCGTGTCGGCGCAGGCGCACCTCTAATGCCGTGGCGACTGACACCAGGTACTGGCCTTTGTGTTTTCGGCATAAGGTCCTGAGACTAGCTGCCTGATGAGAGCTAACGTCACCATATACGCATGACTGGTTCTTGTGGCTTCGGCATAAGGTCCACAGTGCCGCGCGCTTCTGCCGCTGCCCTGCGTGCCGTCCGGCCCGCACGCGCGCCGCGCCAATGAAGACCAGGTATAATGACCTTTATGGCGTCGGCTTAAGGTTGAAGGTGGCGTGCAGTACCCGTCCGGCACCCACAAGCGCCATGTTCAAAAAAATTGACTCTTATGGCTCGGGCATAAAGCTCAAGGTGACGTGCAGTGATGGTTCAACAACCACGCGCGTCGCGTCAATGGACACCAGAATGGACGACTGACCCTTGCGACCCCGGTATAAGGCTCATAGTGGCTTGCCGTGCGCAGGCGCACCCTTAATGCTGCTCCAACTGACACATACCAGGTACACACGACTGGCTCTTATGGCATCGACATAAGGCTCAAAGTGGAGTGCAGTACCCGCCCGGAATCAACACGCGCCGCGCCAACGGACACCAGGTATACTGGCCCTTGTGGCAACGGCATAAGGTTCAAAGTGAAGTGCAGTGCTTGTTAGGTACTCACGCGAGCGCCATATTCGCAAAACTGACTCTTATGGCTCCGGCATAAAGCTCAAGGTGGCGCGCAGTGATAGATCAACAACCACGCGCTTCGCGTCAAGGAACACCAGTACAGATGACTGGCCTTTGTAACTTCAGCATAAGGCTCATAGTGGCGTGCCGTGCGCTGGCGCATCTTTAGTGCCGCATTAACAGACAGGCTTGGGACCCAATGTTACCAGGACTGGCCTTTTTGGTCTTGGCAAGATCCAAGGTGGCTCGAAGATTGACTTGAAACCTTCAAATAAGTTATGTTACTGCCATAGAAACAACAGCAGTTTACGACGCGACGTTATGTGTTACTACCATGGCAAGTATCGAAATCATACTCATCATTTTCACTCATTATTCATAATAAAAAAAGGAAAACATAAGTTATACACAACCTTTTCTGCCCCAAATACCAAGTCCAATACCAATTCAACACTTTTCACCATTGAATCCTTATCACACGCGCGTAATTATACAGGGTGTTTCTTGTAAGGTGTCAAGCCGAAGGCAGGTGATAGGTGAGGACTAGACCTATCGATTTCACCCCCATGTATGTTCTACGATTTTTCGTAGTTTAGATGTTATCGTTAATTTTGTGATTTTTTCAAATTTCATGACCTAGTGGCTTAATTTCTTTTTTATCTTTTTTTTGGGTTGACTTTTCTCAGATTTCTTTTTTTTGACAGATTGCCTATTAGTTGCAGATATTTGAAAAAAATAATCACCTTCCTATCTTTGATGCAAGATACAAAATTTTTGCTAGAAACATAAAAAATATGCTTTTAGCAGAACATTCTAAAATTTTCAACTGAAATGTATGAGAAAAAAAAAGAATTTCCATAGGTCCAAAATAATTTTAAAAACTGCGCAGTTTAAGCCACTAGGTCATGAAATTTGAAAAAATCACAAAATTAACGATAACTTCTAAACTACGAAAAATCGTAGAACATACATGGGGGTGAAATCGATAGGTCTAGTCCTCACCTATCACCTGCCTTCGGCTTGACACCTTACAAGAAACACCCTGTATTGCTGTCGCGCTCGCACACTCACTGCGGCCGCCCGTCGCACAGTCGCGACAGCAATATCGAGCGATAAGGATGGGCAGCTTGGGGTCATTGGACGAAATTGTATCTGCTCGGCGACTGGACTTTAAACAATATACTCGTACTTATTGCGTGTCATTTGTAAGCTATAAATTGCTGTATTTATTGAAAAATAGGCTGCCAAAGGTGACTGAGTTTCTTCCGCCACTTCTTCTTAGCACCAGCCCATATGTTGTCCCGAAGTGGTGTGTATAAGCGCTCTAGAACAGGGCCTATGTACTGAATTATCATCATCATCATCATCATGTCAGCCATAGGACGTCCACTGCTGAACATAGGCCTCCCCTAATGCCTCTGTGGTCTAGTGGTAAGACCACCTGCTTCAGACGCAGAGGTCCCGGGTTCGATTCCCAGTGGGGGCAGATTTTTCTGTTCGGTTTGGTTGGTGGTAGGGCTTGTTCTAAGCCCGCCTGGCTAGCTACCACCATCTTACCTAAGTCTGTCGCCATAACAACAATGTTAACAGCATTGTTGTGTTCCGGCAGTTAGAGATAAGATAGCCAGTTCCTCCGTGGTTGAGGATTCCGGGTGAAGCTCGCTTCCACCTTCGGCCTGATCGTCACTTACCATCAGGTGAGATACAGGCCAAGAGCTTCCTCGTTGTGGATAAAAAAAAAATGCTTTCCACATTGATCGATTGGTAGCGGCCTGCATCCAGCGCTTCCCTGCTACCTTCACGATGTCGTCGGTCCACCTTGTAGGTGGACGTCCCACGCTGCGCCTTCCGGTACGCGGCCTCCATTCCAGAATGTACCATGTACGGAATATATAATTTGAATAAACTGCCGTTTCCAGGAGGGCAGCATAGCGGACTACGCGCCGAGCGCGCCGCCGATGGTGCCAGCGCTGCTGGTGCACTGCATCAACGAGGTGGAGAAGCGAGGCCTGGGAGAACGAGGCATATACCGCATCAGCGCTGTCGATAAGGACGTTAAACGACTCAAGGTTTGTCGCATTCATTGAAATTAGGCACTGCATTACGCTCTTGTGGAGGTTATAGTCATAAACCTAACAGTACTCAACAATACTGAATTATTTTAATAAAAAGTACCTATGTAATACATATAAAGCAATAAATATCTGACTGATCTGTCAACACTCAAACCACTAAATGTATCTCACTGTGGCACTCCATAATAGTTGATGATTTTCCAAAACTCATAAGGATAAAACGGTTATTTCGAAGTAACAAGAAGTAAGCCAGCAAGAGAAACTCTTGCGGGCTTACTGGTTTATAAAATTCTTTCATTTAGTGGCCGTTTGCTATTGTCATGAAATTCAAGTAGCGATTGGTTTAGAACATACCTAGCCCTTACTAAAGGGTGCTAGGCTCACACTATTGGATTTTATCATATCACGTTTAACTTTACGTAGGTAAAAGTGTTTTTTAAAGCCTACTTGCAAAAAATAAATAAGTTTTTTTTAACTATATGGCATCTTGTGTAGTTGTAAATATCTGTCGAATAAATCTACAGTCTTGGAAATTCTGTAAAACAAAACTACACAATCATCGTCCTTCAACAATCACTTAACAATTCACCTATGCCTTCTAGGAACGTTTTCTCCGCGGCTGCGGTTCCCCCCAACTGGCCAACGAAGACATCCACGTACTTTGCGGCTGCATCAAAGACTTCCTACGATCCCTACGCGAACCGCTCGTATCTAATGCATTGTGGAGCGACTTTATGGACGCAGCCAAACTAAGCGAGCCCAGTGACGCCACCGCTGCAGTTGTCCAAGCAGTCAGCCAGCTGCCTCAGCCTAACAGAGATACCCTGGCTTTCCTGGCGCTGCATTTGCAGAAGTAAGTCTCTTACCAACACATAGGATCATACATCTTTACAGGAACACCTTCACTGAAACTCTTTAAACCATCTTCGTTTGTCGCAGCCTTATAGGACCTCCTTGGTCCGGTACATCCAGAATTAGGTACACTCAACCTTTCTTTAGAATAGCCTCAGGAAACTCGGTACTAGTTCCCTACGCGAGCCACTCGTTTTATGGACGCACCCAAACTAAGCGAGCCTAGCGACGCTACCGCCGCCGTGGTGCAAGCGGTCAGCCAGCTGCCTCAGCCCAACAGAGATACACTGGCTTTCCTGGCGCTGCATTTGCAGAAGTAAGTGCCTTAAAACTCTAGGATGCACTGCCTTATAGGAACAGTCTGGTCTAATTATACGTCGCTTCAAACAAAATACGTTTACAGCTGGACAAAATTTCTGGTGCTGCATCTACAGAAGTAAGTCACTTTAGGATACACATTTTTATAGAGACACCTTGGTCTACAGCTTTACCAGTAGAAGAAAGCATCTAAGATTGACCTGGGAACCTTCCCGTTCATCAAACTCACTAGTCCAACTCATGATAGTTCCCACGTGCTTTGCGGCTGCATCAAAGACTTCCTACAGTCCCTACGCGAGCCACTCGTGTCTAACGCATTGTGGAGCGACTTTATGGACGCGGCCAAACTAAGCGAGCCCAGTGATGCTACCGCCGCCGTTGTCCCAGCGGTCAGCCAGCTGCCTCAGCCCAACAGAGATACCCTGGCTTTCCTGGCGCTCCATTTGCAGAAGTAAGTGCTTTAACTGACTCTAGGTTACATATTATTTCAGAGACACCTTGGTCTTACCAGCAGAAGAAAGTTTTCAGCCTCCAGGATTGGTCTTGCAGATTTCTCATTCGTGCANAACCAGAGTCACTGACATAGCCCGCAGAATCGCTAAAATCAAGTGGCAGTGGGCGGGGCACATAGCTCGGAGAGCTGATGGCCGCTGGGGCAGGAAAGCTCTTGAGTGGCGACCACGAGCTGGAAGACGTAGCGTGGGCAGGCCTCTCACTAGGTGGACCGACGATCTGGTGAAGGTCGCGGGAGGTGCCTGGATGCGAGCGGCGCAGGACCGGTCTTTGTGGAAATCCTTGGGGGAGGCCTTTGTCCAGCAGTGGACGTCTTTCGGCTGAAACGAACGAACACGATTAGATTGAAACATAATAAAGCAGGGTACTCACCTGCCTTGTAGCACGTAACTTAGCATGTAACGAATCCAACCTTCAAGTTCACTTGACACATTACATGCTACACGGCTGAGTACATGCATGAGTACCCAGCTTAATATAAGNTGCAGATTTCTCATTCGTGCAACTTTCTGGACAAGCTTATGCTTATTGGCCTTAAAGATTCACTTTAACTTGCGAAGTCTTGCGTCTTGATTTTTCGCAGTCTTTATAGTCTTAATAATCTTCCTAACGAACTGATATATGTGTCGCAGGCAAATTGTATGATTCCGCATTTTACAAACGGCGTCGTCAGTTCACAAACGCTCGCTGCTCTATGAAATGCCGAAGGCAAAATGTAAATTGCGCGGGCACTTTATAATATGCCAAAACATTTGATAGCCAATTCAATTGCTGTTTATAAAATTTATAAAATGCCACGGCAAATTGAAGTATTTAGTTCTTTTTCTTACCACGCGAGGCGCTGCTAATCAAAACAAGAAAAATGGCGTCGAGTCTTGGTGTTGTGATACAGAAAACAGTGCAAATTCTACGTATTCAAAGGACTTTTCACAAAAAAAGACATTTATTATACTTAGTGAATGAAAAATATTTTACGATTCACAAATAGGAGCAGTGAAAAAGCTATGGAAAAATGAAATAGTTTTTGAGGTTATCCGGCACGTAAAAAACGCTAAGGTGACAATGGAATCAGGTGCTCGGACTGGTGGAGGACTGCTGCGGAATATTATTGGTTTAAAAAAATATTGTGTTGTCTTCTAGACTTCTTCTAGGTATAATTAAAATGTAAGACTTAAAGGACTGACTATCGAAACTTATTTTATGTCGTAGTTTTATGTACCTACATATAGGTACGTCAATAATAGTTTAAATTAGTTTAGTGTTGTTTTTATTACGAAAATATTTTAATTGCTTTAGGAGCAGCTAGTATTTTAGGTTTGTCTTACCTGACTAGATACCTACCTGATTTCTGAAATTAAGTCTGATTTGTCCAACATGTTTTATGATGGTCACCCTATTGCAACAATCATAGTCGAAATTTTATCAATTGAACGAGTCGCCAATTTGCCTTCGGCATTTCATAGAACAGCGAGCGTTTGTAAGCTGACGACGCCGTTTGTAAAATGCGGAATCATACAATTTGCCTGCGACATATGCACTGTGAACTGGTTCATCGTGATGGTTTATTCCACTTTGTTCTAAAAACCTAGGTGATATCAACTGGGTGAACAAAGTAGATTTTTAGTGTCCTCATTTCACCTTGGAACCATTTCACCCAACTTTATTTTTCAGGTGAATTAAGTCGACTAAAGCTGTTGACTTTGTTCACCTAGAAAGTTATCTCTAAATAAATAAATAAATTCTTTATCCACAGAGTGGCCGAGAGTCCGGAGTGTGAGATGGGCGTGGAGAACTTGGCCAAGATCTTCGGGCCCACCATCGTGGGATACGGGCTCATGACGCAACCAGCTGAGATGTATACCGCTACTGCGCAGATGTTCAATGTAAGACTTTGTTACTCATCATCATCAACAGCCCTTTACAGTCCACTGCTGGACTTTGAGCCTCCTCCACTATAGTGGAGGGGTTTGCCATAATCTCCACGTTTGACAGGCGGGTTGGAGATCGCAGTTTAAAAGATTGATGTTTTTCAGAGAGCGCTGCTGCCCGTTCTCTGTTTGATGTGTAGTCCCTAAGTCGCCTCTTACGACACACCCGTGGGAAGAGTAAGGGTTGGTGACAAATGTATTCTACTCTGCCGTCACCACACGGCTTTGTTACTACCCGAATATTTCTTGTTACTTATACTTTTTGCTACTTGTACTTCCCTGTACTGTTGCGTATACCCCGGGACTATTCAACCTTACCGGATTAGGCCTGGATGAGACACAACGATAATCGCGCGATTGCTGGGTTTTAGTACATTTAAAAACCGTGCTGTTATGGCGCGTGTGCACAGGGACTAATGCCCGTTTTCACCATTAGTCCTTAAATTTAAGGTGACCCCTATGGTAACACATAATAGGAATTTGGTATTCATAGGGGTCACTTAAAAATTAGGGATTGATGATGAAAATGGGCATAAGCTCCGTTATTTTAATTAAAGAATTTACAATGACTCATGGCACCTGTTAAAATCAGTTTCGGGACATTGTGTCTTGATTTATACTGAGTAGGCACTTTTTTGGTACGAAAGCACCTTCATTTCAGCCGAATGACGTCCACCGCTGGCTAAAGATTTTCACAAAGACCGATCCTGCGCCGCCCGCATCCAGCATCTAGGAACCTCCCGCGACCTTCACCAGATCATCGGTCCACCTAGTGGGAGGCCTGCCCACACTACGTCTTACAGCTCGTGGTCGCTACTCGAGAACTTTTCTGCCCCAAAGAAAGCACCTATTCTTGCCTATCTATGTGAATCAGGGATGTTAGGGATATGTAGTTTCGGTTATAGATACGGTTACGGATATAGGAATAATATTATACCGGTTTCGGATATTTTTTTATTTCGTATATCCGAAAATTTCGGTTACCGTTACGGATATCCATAACATCCCTGATGTGAATAAGATTTTGTATTTGATTGTGTCAATAGGGATGATGACTGGGTAATGAAATCGAAATCCTATTTAGTCCGTCAGACAGATAATAAAAAAGTTTGGACACATTTTTTTTTTCATAATCGAATAATTACAGTATTATATTGAGTTGAAATGTCGCGTGACGTCACTTTTGAGTAAAAAATCTACTCAAGCGTGACGTAACGCGCCATTTCAACTCGATGTAGCACTGTTATTATTTAATTATGAAAGAAAATAAAAAATATGAGTCTAATATTTTCTAATTATCTGTCTGACGGACAAAGAATTGAAATTTTTTCATCTAGCCTATTAAAGCCTTCTTATTCTGTCGTGTATACCAGGTGATGCAGCTGCTGCTTCGTCTGCCGGCGGAGTACTGGGCGCAGTGGGCGTGCGCGGAGCCCGCGTCGCCGCCCGCGCCGCTTGCCCGCCCTAAAGGGTTCTTCTTCTCACCTGCCGATACCGGGTCAGTACACGATTATACAGGGTGTTAGGTAAATGAGTATATGAGCCGACACTAGCCCATGTTAACAAATGCATATAATAACAATATACTAAATAAATTACACTTCTAATATTGTGTGGCTGGCATACATTTAGGTATGGAAGCTGGAAACATTGAATTTTCGGATAGTTCCAGTTTATTCTGTAACCTATTATTGGTACCGTTTGAAAGAACTCGTGAAGCACTTTCAGGATCAGCAACTAGTTTTTCGATATCTTGTATAGTTTAGAAATAATCGAGTGAGATCACCTATCGTTTCCACCCGTATTATTTTGGCCACCAGTGGCTGTGGTCGGTGGCCCATTTGCGTCGAGCCTAAGTCGTAATGTTAGTTACTCTTTTAAGAAAAAAATTTAACTGTGACTGACTTATCAATTTTTCATAAACATTCTGTACCTACTCACTTCATATTAATTTTATTTTTTTATTTTACAGTATATCGAGAAAGAAGAGAAACTATTTCCAGTGACATTGAGTAAGTTAACATTAAATAGATATTATAACTAATTTACGTGTTACTAATGTTAGAATTAATTTTCTTTTGGTTCAATCGGAACAGTTAAGTTAACCATTATATTTTTTGTAGGTATATAACTTTGTATATTACATTACAACTTACACTAGAAAAATACATTTGATTTCTACTATACATACAGGATATTGTCCATTTGGCACAAGTTTTGTTTTACAAAAGAAGGAATATCTTGTCCATGGCACATCCTGTTTATTATGTGTGTAAAGTTATTTAATTTATTAGTATATTGGATACAATAGGACATAGTTTATACTCTTTTAATTTTGCACTTTTCATATTTTAAAATCACTGTAAACTTACCCTATAGCAGGGGTGGCCAACCGGTCGATCGCGACTATTAGTCCAGTCGATCGTGGCAAGGCAAAAAATACTACATGATTGTGTACTAAACTATGCCGTTTCATTTAAGATTTCAAGAAGTATCTAAGTGGTAGATCGCCCAGGCTTTCGTTAGTAAACAGTAGATCTTATGTCTAATCAAGTTGGCCACCCCTGCCCTATAGCAATATTGCACAACAGTTATTTAGCTAAATCAGTCAATTAACACATTGTTCAACAATTTTTTTGAACTGTTGTGCATCAATAGCTGCGCGACATTTGTTTAAAGGTGAGTATAGACTAAAGCATTTTTATGTAATGTAACAAATGTAACAATCTTACGAATACAGGTAAAATGTACTATGTTTGGTTCGTGAAATGGTGGGTGACACTGATAATAGAAAATTTCATAGAGCGGCTCGTTGTTCTGTTACAAATACTCTAGCTATAGTCTGGTCCGTGAGCACGTAGAATTTTATCCAATGACCTCTAGCTACCCATCCTTATTGCTCGCGCGTAATTATGTTACTATCGCGCTCGCACATTCACTGCGGGTGCCAGTCGCGACAACAATATAATTACGCGCGAGCGATAAGGATGGGTAGCTAGGGGTCATTGGACAAAATTCTACGTGCTCACGGCCGGGCTTTAGTCTATACTCACCTTATGTGTGATTTTGAATTTCATTAGCCAAGTTTAAAGATCTGTACTTAATTACTATAGTTATTTTGAAAGAAAGAAAGAAAGAAAAAACATTTATTTGGTACCAAAAAATTAAACAATAAGTACAATCAACTTAAAAAGCAGAATACATTGTACCAAATTGGTCTCTGCTCAGTATGAGGTCATAACGTACTGAAGAGCACGTTACGGCCACTGGTATTCTGCAGAAACCATGAAAGAGGGGTGCGTGGCCCACAGCGAACGTTACAACTTACTACAAAATTTGACAAATAGAAGAAAATAAGTAAGTGTGCATTAATTTGTGCTATTGAGCATATTTCGTTTTGTTTATTTAATTAAACATTATTTAGTTGATAAGATTGTAGTAGCTATCTTTATTTTATTGTTATGTAACAAGTGTTTCACCAATCGGATGATATTTGAGTAAATTGACTAACGAAATGAACTTGCGTGTTTTAATGCTTAAAACATGATGCAAGAATTTATTTTTATCAATAGACACTTAATACCACCGAGATTAAGAAGGAAGGATAGTTGACACCATTAGCACATTATGCACTACATTTCTGAAAACACAAATCTATACTTTTTTTTACATTAAATTAGAGGTTTGTCACACTTTGAAAGCATGTCAGTTGAAAAGTGGTGTCAATTACAAATAAATAAGAATTAACTCCATTACCAAATANTGTCACACTGGATGCGGTCTGTGATCAGGGGTCGTAGTTTACGTCAAACGCATTCGATATCGAATATATGAAGATTTTAGTTCTTGCAAGGTTCTAAGTGCGCTGTACAATCCGTCATACATTCAATGTCACTTTTTACGCAATCGACATCGAATGCGTTTGACGTAAATTCACACTACGCCCCCAGGTCAAATGGACGCTCTTATTCAGCTTACCAAATTTCAATTTTACTACCCTTGAAAATTTTACGAAGCTATTTGGCACAGATGTTTACGCACAGTTAGAAAAGCACAAGACATACACAACATTGAGGTGCGTATGTAAGCCGAATACATTGACCTCTGGTGCTCTTACAAGGGAGAATAAATGTCCTAATTGTGTAATTTCAAAGATGCAGTTTCAGAATGTCAGTTGCATGAAGTCACAAACGCAGAATATTAGAAACGCAAAAAGATAGAAGTCAAGGCTCTCGCAAGGATTTCTTATAATAATTACTCCTATTTTTCTAGTAATAAGAGAGCTGAAATCTAATCTGAAAATTTTGGGATCAATACCTCATTCATTATTAGAATTCAGAAATGTTTACTTATGGATATCAACGTTCGTTCGTTCAATCATTCTTATTTAGATTTTCTAAATGTTTAATTGATTTATTTGATTGCACCTTTATCCTAAAATCTGAACCGTTCTCTGGTATAAATTGATATTAATTAAAAATTTTCGTTTTACAGTATATCGAGGAAGAAGAGAAACTATTTCCAGTGACATTGAGTAAGTTAACATTAAATAGATATTATAACTAATTTACGTGTTACTAATGTTAGAATTAATTTTCTTTTGGTTCAATCGGAACAGTTAAGTTAACCATTATATTTTTGTAGGTATATAACTTTGTATATTACATTACAACTTACACATACATTAAAAACAAATTTAATTTCTATAATTAATTACATACAGGAGAATGTCACTTTGGCACAAGTTTTGTTTTACAAAAGAAGGAATATCTTGTCCATGGCACATCCTGTTTATTATGTGTGTAAAGTTACTTAATTTATTAGTATATTGGATACAATAGGGCATAGTTAATACTCATTTAATTTTGCACTTTTCATTTTTCAAAATCAGTTGCAACTTTTGCCCTATAAATAACAAGCATTGTTGCACATCAGTTAATTAACACATTGTTCAACAATTCTTCTGAACTGTTGTGCATCAATAGTTGCGCGACATTTGTTTAAAAGGGAGTATAGACTACAGCATTTCTATGTAATGTAACAATCTTACGAATGATGGTACAATAGATACAGGTAAAATGTATGTTTGGTTCGTGAAATGGTGGGTGACACTGATAATAGAAAATTTCATAGAGCGGCTCGTTGTTCTGTTACAAATACTCTAGCTAGTCTATACTCACCTTATGTGTGATTTTGACTTTTTTTTCATTAGCCAAGTTTAAAGATCTGTACTTAATTACTATAGTTATTTCGTTTTGTTTATTTAATTAAACATTATTTAGTAGATTAAGATTCTTGTATCTTTATTTTATTGTTATGTAACAAGTGTTTCACCAATCGGATGATATTTGAGTAAATTGACTAACGAAATAAACTTGCGTGTTTTAATGCTTAAAACGTGATGCAAGAATTTATTTTTATCAATAGACACTTAATACCACCGAGATTAAGAAGGAAGGATAGTTGACATCATTAGCACATTATTGCATTACATTTATGAAAACACAAATCTATACTTTTTTTTACATTAAATTGGATTTATGTCGGTTGAAAAGTGGTGTCAATCACCTGATTATAATAAGTACTATAACTAAAGTCTATCACCAAATAAAATTGCAGCTACATTTTACATTATTATTACAAGTAACTAACACTTGTTTTTGCAGAGCCGAATGCTACTTTAAAAAATTCGTTTAAATATATGATAGCTAGGAGGTCCGTTACAGTGACGTCATATCGCCGCCTACGACGATGAATTGAACATAAAATAAAAACATATTATTTAGGGTTGTCGCACACCTATTGACACGGACATGCATGCCTTGTCTCTTTGCTGTCATGCATGAAGCGAAAAAGCGCTAAGACTTTTCGAGACGTCACGCTTTTCGAGGTTTCAGTCTTATAAAAAAACCGGTATAGCCGAAACGGTAATATGACGTCGAGTTAATATGTGTGAGATAACCCTTAAACAGTGCTCAGCACTTGAATTCGCTGGAAAGAGATGACATTCTGCAAGGATGTCCTCTCTTTCAACCATTCGCTTACTAAAATGCTAAGCACTACTTGTTAATATAAATTCAGTGGACGTCCTATGGCTGTAATTATGATGATGATGAGAATTTTATAACTGTTTTAAAAACTACATTGTTAAATAGTTAAAATATTGTTCCTAAAGCAATAAAACCAGCAATAAAACATTGATAATTTAAGTACTTTTTTTTTTTAAAGTATTCGAATATTCGAATAATATTCGAATATCACTGAAAAAATATTCGAATATTCGAAATAGAAATCTATCGAATATTTGCAATCTCTAGTCATTATACATATAATATCGAAATTAATTGTCAACTGATAGCCTTAACTAAAATAGTAAGACACGGGTCTTAACGCGACGTTTATTAATGAGTTACATTATGTACTCACGGCTTGACGTTTCATTAAAATCTTATATTAAACTAGCGGCCGCCCGCGACTTCGTACGCATGGATCCCGTTTTACCTCCCTTAGGGGTGGAGTTTCGTAAAATCCTTTCTTAGCGGATGCCTACGTCATAACATCTACCTGCATGCCAAATTTGAGCCCGATCCGTCCAGTGGTTTGGGCTGTGCGTTGATAGATCACTATGTCAGTCAGTCAGTGACCTTTGAGCTATACCTACTAATCTATATCTATACTTCTACTATACTAATATTATAAATGCGAAAGTAACTCTGTCTGTCTGTCTGTCTCGCTTTCACGCCTAAACCACTGAACCGATTTTGATGAAAGGCATAAGAGATAGTTTTTATCCCGGCTTTTGAAACAGTTAAAGTTTTTCAGTGACAGACAAAATTCCATGCGGGCGAAGCCGCGGGCGGAAAGCTAGTTTTATATATTTAGATGATAGCCATACCTTTTAATTAAGGCGTGCTTAATAACTTAATTTCCTAACCACAAAATCGCTAGGTGCATCACCATCAAATGGAAAGCCATCGAGCGCGGCGCATTTGGCCAAATCCTATTTCCTGATAGAATTTAGATTTTATTGGCGTAGATATGGCCTTTAATGGCCCATTCCGATGGCAAGTCTCATAATCGGGACGCGGATGATATTGTATACGTTGGCGGAATATATTTGGTGGTTTTGGTTGTTTTCATAGGAATGAGGTGGGCTGACAACGTGAAATTGGACATAATGGATTCAGGTGGGCTGAATTGGCGTTCTTAGAAAGAAGTGTTTGGCAAATTCATTTGTTTTATTTTTGTTCTTAGCCGAATATTAATATCAAACCCACAAGGTGCTCCGAAGAATTGATCCCTGCCGCCTATTTTCGCTATCTTTCTACGCGACAGCATTTGCATCCTTTAGATGGTT